TGTTTTGTGGCTAGCGCTTCCGTCTTTTTGGCTTGGGAGACTTGGATTGTTCACCTGCAAAATGTGCCTTGTTTTTTGTCATGAATTGCCCTCCTCGGCATAGAGCTACGCGCAGCTCCTCAACTCTCGCAACTCTACATCTTTACAGGAAGCCAAAAGCAGATCGTTAAACACCAACCCTACAACCTCTAAACTCAACCCAAACACTAAATCTACCTATGGTCGCGGACACCGAGCCTAAGCCTACCTCTAAGCCCACCTTTCCCGGTAACTCGCCTTCCCCCAAAATGTGAGACATGTAAAACACGGAAGGGGAAAAAGAAGTGGAGAACCCCTTCAGCCAAGCTGAACCCACACCCCGGAGGTTATGACATTGTTCGCCGCCGAAAAGCCCCCTCTCAGAGCTACGGAGGTCCCAGCCGAGACGCAAACTTGCTGCTGCTCAGGGAATGAGTTGGAATGAACCTGGACCCAGGTCCCTTAAAGCAAACCAGCAGTTGGACTGGATAGTTTATAAGGTCCCTATCCCACACTCCTTCAGACTAACAGCCGGAAGCTCTCCCAATTGGCCTCTGTAAATGGGACCAAGTCTTCCATTTCGGGGTCCTGGGAGCTTCCATGGGATCGTCAGAGGGTATCCCTCCAGCTTCCATTTGCACAGGACGTCATCAACTTGCTCCAGTCGGGGGACATCCAGCGCCAAGACTGTGCCGCGGTGCAAAGCGGAGAAATCACCGAGGATGAGGGCAGGTGCCAGACAGATCACCTGGGGAACGACCGGGACGACTGTACCTTTCTGCAGGTCGGCGGTTTTCTCAGTCGTTTTAACTTCTTTCGGTGGGGTTTTGCCCCTCATTTGCATGTGGTCTCCGCAGAAAAAAAGGAGACCAGAGAGTGCGTGAGTCAATAAGGTCCTTTGCCCATTCTTTTCAATCCTTCTTTTTGCTGGGCCAACAAGAATCCCCGAAAAGAGTGGGGATGTTTCCACGAGAATTGTCCGGCCTTTTGAACCCTTTCGGAAGGGGTGAACTCCTATTTTCAACTTTTCGACCGCCGGTGCTTTTTGCATCTCTTGGGCCTTGCGCATGTTTCATTGCTGCGATGTTTCTGGGTCCATGGGTGCTTCAAACGAGTCGGCAGATTCTAGCTCTCAGTCCCTGGACTCCCCCTCTCCTCTTTCCGGGTCGAATTTCGTGGACGCCGATCTAAACCCGAAGCCAACATACTTTTTGACCCCCAGCCATTTGAACATGCTCCGAATCACTCCATGGAGCCCATGGGGCGAAAGAATGACTATTTCTTTTTTAACCCACCGCCAGGTGGGGAATCTTCTTTGGAGCGTGCCCATTGCGTTGCCCCTCAGCGAGCGGGTGGCGCACAGCTTGTCCTGGGCTCTCACCTTCGGCCTGGCGCGAGGCCTCTGGCAGGCGGACTTCGGGGACTTCGGGCTGGGGGGGCTGGGGTCGTCTGGATGAAAAGAAGCCACCTGTGTGGTGTGATTTTGATGGCCGAAAAACCCTGCCGGCTTTCAAACGAAGCCCAAGAAAGGTGGTCTACTATAGGATCTTTTTGGGAGGCCTAAACAGGAGGCTTGCGGGGTCAAACCAACTTGCGTAGGACACGCGTGCGAAGCGATTGCTTAGCCTGTTGCAGGTCCCCGAAGCTGGGCCCCTTTCAGCGGCGTCTCAAATGGAAAGCAATCTCCTCTCCAAAGATGGGGAGGCCCTCGCATGATGGACACATAGGGTCTATTGCATTGATTTTTTTCAGGCTTTGAGTCTCAAATATAGACCGTTACGGTGTCCATGGATGGGGGGGCCGAAGTTTTTCCCCAGTGAGTAAGAGTCAGGTAGCACATGGAGCCCTTTTCCGTTGCCCAGCCATTTGGTCAGTTTTTCATTTTGGCAGGCTCACCTGGGAATAGTTCGAGCTCACCGTGATAAAGGTCCTTTTCTTGGGGATCCCTTAATTCTGATTTTGGAATTATAGTAACATTTGCATTAATATTTGGTTGAAATCTCCAAGTTGCTAACTGTATTCACTGGCCATTTACTCACTCCAACTGGGTCCCAAGCGAACATTTTGAGGGCTCGCAAGATTGCTTTTGGGAGTGGCTTCCCGAACTCCCATTTTTTTTGAGAGGGCGATTTCGAGTTGTTTTTCCACACAACTCACCACCATGTTTTGTTTTCTTCTCATTTTTTTTCCCGCGTAGTTCCCTTTCAAGCCCACCCCCCAAGAACAGGGGTACTCTTCCTTCCCCAGAATTGGCCCCCCTTTTTGTGTGTTTTTTGCCCTTTTGGGGTCCCTTTTGTTTTCCACTGACTGGGCAACAAATATATTTGTTTGCTGGGGTCCAAAATGCCAGCCGAGCTTCGAGCACTTCTTGCGGGGACTGGCCGCCGATTCGTCAGGAGGCGCTGATGCTGAATGCCAACGCCTTCCCGAAGTCCCAGTGCGAGGTCGCTGGTCGCCGGCGAAGAATCGCTCGGTCGGCAGTCGGCGGTGTTCCTTGTTCTCCGCTTTGAGCCCACCAAAAGACGGCTACCCTGAGAAAACAATCACCCATACTTCTATTTGCTGAGATGAAGTTCATTTTTTTTGGTTTTGAAGGGATCGATTTCACGGCTGCACATGTTTTCTCTCATCTTTCCAGGGGGCTTCCATCTATTTTCAGGGAGCGAGGGAAGAAGCGGGTGTGTGTCTCTTGTTGAGGGCACCCTGTTTGGGCTTGCTTTAGCTTCCATTTGCTGTACAGTTGTTTTTTTTGATTCATTAGTAGTATGATTATCATTATTACTTGTTTTATTATTATCCCAGTTGGTTTTAAAGTTGGAATCGATTTCACTACTGGAAATAGGTTTTCATTTTTTCCACGGGTGCGATTGGGTTGGAGCTTTAGCCTTTTAACACTTTTTGTTGGCAGATGAGATTGACTGTTGTTCTGTAATATGTTTCACTTCTTGGGAGAATGAGACATGGATTTTTCTCACCTGCAAGAAATCAAGCTTGGGCAGGTAGCCAAGTTTTGTACCAACCATGTTTCTAAATGCAACAGTAGCAGAAAGCCGGCTCAGTGACTGGGAAAGGCCCGGAGTTCTGTTTTTTGATCGTTTTTCCTTTTGACTCTGACGCCCGGAATTCTTTGCGGTCTTTCTTGTGATAATTTTTCTTTTCTCCCCATAGAAATCCAACATTTGAGCCACAATCAAAACCCGGGGAAATGAAGTTTAGTAAGGGACAATCCCCTTGCCAAAAAGAGCTGCGGGATATCCGCCTTCTTAACTCTTGAAGCAAGAGGGCTGGGATTACGACCATTTTGATACCGGGGGTATGATTGTGACTCACTTGAGGAGGCTTTGAACTGGGTCAGAACCCAGGTGGCCATGGGTCAAAACCCTGTACCCCCTGTGAACATCCGATTCAATCCCCACTAAAATAGGTTCCAAAAAGGGTGGTGCACCGGTCGACGGCAACATGTTCCTGAGGAAGAGGTGGAGAGGAGCGAGATGGACGGGCTGGACTTTTCGGACCTGGGCGGCACCATCGTTCTCTCGGCCATCATAGTGGGCCTGGGCTTGCTCTGCTGCCTTGGCCAGCGTGTGGGCGCAAGCCGTCAGAAGACCTGCGATGGCGATATTGAGAAGATGGATCCCCCTGAGGAGGTGGTGTTTCAGAGAGTCTGCGTTCCCAAGATCTCACACCCCGAGGGAACTTCCCTGAGCTGAAGCAAGTGCCAAGTGAGTCTCGGACCCATATCACCCCAAGTGAGGTGCCAATCTCTGATTTCCAGGCAGGCGGCATCTTGAAGAGATCGCCGCCTTCCGATGCATAAGGGCGTTTCAAAAAGCGGAGGGAGTGGCGCCTGGCTTAGGGTAAAGAGCTCCGGTCTCGAGGAAACCTGTCCTGCATCTCCCCTAGGCCAGTCTAATCAATCTTCCGTTTGCTGAACTGAGCATGTTTTTTCCTATTTTGATTTGAAAAAAAGGAATCGATTTCACTACTGGACATATTTTCTCTTTTTTCCAGGGGGCTTAAGCCTGCAGGACTTCGACTTTTCAGATCACGGAATACACGAGCCAATCGAAGGTGCGCGAGTCACATTTGCTTTGTGTCGCGCAAATTCTTTGCCCAGGGAAATCTTATGCCACAGATGGGTCGGCAATGGCTGCCTTTTGCTGGGTGGCTTGGTATGAGTCTCCCACAAAGTTGGGGACCCCTGAAAAGCCTTGCTTAAAGAAACCCAAAGACAACAAGCCCAAGAATTGCCAAGCGAGTTTCGGGGTCCGGATTTGCCGGTGGCGCTGGTCCTGGTGGTGAAACAAAGGAATTGCGTCTGTGCTGTGTAGTCTTTTTCTGCGACATGTTAGGCGGCAAGACTCCTCACTAACACACTCTCAAAAGCGGGTTGGCTATATTCAACCCCGCTTAGATGAATCGGGAGGGCTATGCACAAACGGGCGGCTCCCTTTGACTGGGGAATTCAAGAACTGCAGAGGAAGTCTTCTGATTATAGATGTTTTCTCTGAAGTTGACATCACATGCTTTGTTTGTGAGGGTTTGGGAAGGGGGTTGGTGAACCCTTGGCAAAGTAGCCACTCAGTTTATTCCCGAACTATCTTTCCCCGATCCGATTGGGGCCAATTGCAGGACTGAGCCGAAAGGAACCAATGATGTCGCGCAGATATTTTTTTGGGCTGAGCGAATTCTAAATGGAACCAACCATACTTGCTAGTAATGAGTTGGAATGACCCCTATAAACCATCTCCTATGGTTTCCTTTAAGGAAGTCCCTCGGTTCATTCCCAAAACCCGGAAGGTCTCGGTGATTCCCTATGGCAGGCGTATCTATCAGGGTCTCATTTTGAGACAGGTTCCGAATTTTCAGCCGACGGGTTCCGAATTTTCTGCCCATGTTCTTCCCTTTCGTGTTTCTTTCCAAACCCGTGAGATCCGGCTTTGCGGTCCATTCGGAGTGGTTCCGGAGATCCCAAATCCGAGGCTCGACCAGCTCCTCTCCGCGCAGGAGGCCATCGAGGTGGATCAGGATCCAAAGTCGGGAGTTGGGACGGGCGAAAGCTACGGTCAGCTCAAGAAACTGCCTCCATGCAACTGGGGTTGCTGGCTTGCTTGCTTTGCTTGCTTTGCTTGCTTTGCTGGCTTTGCTTGCTGGCTTGCTAGGTTGCTTGCTTGGTTGCTTGCTAGGTTGCTGGCTTTGCTGGCTGGCTGGCTTTGCTTGCTTGCCTGTTTGCTTGCTTGCTGGCTTGGCTTGCTTGCCTGTTTGCTTCCTTGCTTGCCTGTTTGCTAGCTTTGCTGGCTGGCTTTGCTTGCTGGCTTGCTAGGTTGCTTGCTTGGTTGCTTGCTTGGTTGCTTGCTAGGTTGCTGGCTTTGCTGGCTGGCTGGCTTTGCTTGCTTGCCTGTTTGCTTGCTTGCTGGCTTGGCTTGCTTGCCTGTTTGCTTCCTTGCTTGCCTGTTTGCTTGCTTTGCTGGCTGGCTTTGCTTGCTGGCTTGCTAGGTTGCTTGCTTGGTTGCTTGCTTGGTTGCTGGCTTGCTTGCTGGCTTTGCTGGCTGGCTGGCTTTGCTTGCTTGCCTGTTTGCTTGCTTGCCTGTTTGCTTGCTTGCATGGTTGGCTTGCTTGCTTGTTTGCTTCCTTGCTTGCCTGTTTGCTTGCTTGCTTGCTTGCTGGCTTTGCTGGCTGGCTGGCTTTGCTTGCTGTCCTGTTTGCTTGCTTGCTGGCTTGGCTTGCTTGCCTGTTTGCTTCCTTGCTTGCCTGTTTGCTTGCTTGCTGGCTTGCTGGCTTGCTGGCTTTGCTGGCTGGCTGGCTTTGCTTGCTTGCCTGTTTGCTTGCTTGCTGGCTTGGCTTGCTTGCCTGTTTGCTTCCTTGCTTGCCTGTTTGCCTGTTTGCTTGCCTGTTTGCTTGCTTGCTTGCTTGCTTGCTTGCTTGCTTGCTTGCTTGCTTGCTTGCTTGCTGGCTTTGCTGGCTGGCTGGCTTTGCTTGCCTGCCTGTTTGCTTGCTTGCTGGCTTGGCTTGCTTGCCTGTTTGCTTCCTTGCTTGCTTGCTTGCTTGCTTGCTTGCTTTGCTGGCTGGCTTTGCTTGCTGGCTTGCTAGGTTGCTTGCTTGGTTGCTTGCTTGGTTGCTTGCTAGGTTGCTGGCTTTGCTGGCTGGCTGGCTTTGCTTGCTTGCCTGTTTGCTTGCTTACTGGCTTGGCTTGCTTGCCTGTTTGCTTCCTTGCTTGCCTGTTTGCTTGCTTTGCTGGCTGGCTTTGCTTGCTGGGTTGCTAGGTTGCTTGCTTGGTTGCTTGCTTGGTTGCTTGCTAGGTTGCTGGCTTTGCTGGCTGGCTGGCTTTGCTTGCTGGCTTGGCTTGCTTGCCTGTTTGCTTCCTTGCTTGCCTGTTTGCTTCCTTGCTTGCCTGCTTGCTTGCTTTGCTGGCTGGCTTTGCTTGCTGGCTTGCTAGGTTGCTTGCTTGGTTGCTTGCTTGGTTGCTTGCCTGTTTGCTTCCTTGCTTGCCTGTTTGCTTGCTTTGCTGGCTGGCTTTGCTTGCTGGCTTGCTAGGTTGCTTGCTTGGTTTGGCTGGCTTTGCTTGCTTGCCTGTTGTCTTCCTTGCTTGCTTGCTTGCTTGCTTGCTTGCTTTGCTGGCTGGCTTGCTGGCTTGCTAGGTTGCTTGCTTGGTTGCTTGCTAGGTTGCTGGCTTTGCTGGCTGGCTGGCATTGCTTGCTTGCCTGTTTGCTTGCTTGCTGGCTTGGCTTGCTTGCCTGTTTGCTTCCTTGCTTGCCTGTTTGCTTGCTTTGCTGGCTGGCTTTGCTTGCTGGCTTCCTTGCTTGCTTGGTTGCTTGCTAGGTTGCTGGCTTTGCTTGCTTGCTGGCTTGGCTTGCTTGCCTGTTTGCTTCCTTGCTTGCCTGTTTGCTTGCTTGCTGGCTTGGCTTGCTTGCCTGTTTGCTTCCTTGCTTGCCTGTATGCTTGCTTGCTTGCTTGCTTGCTTGCTGCTTTGCTGGCTGGCTGGCTTTCATGCTTGCCTGTTTAGCTTGCTTTGCAGGCTTGCTTGCTGCCTGTTTGCTTCCTTGCTTGCCTGTGGCTTGCGTGCCTGTTTTGCTTGCTTGCTGTGCTTGCTTGCTTGCCTTGCCTGCTTGCTTCTTGCTTGCTTGCTTTGCTGGCTGGCTTGCTTGCTTGCTGTTTGCTTGCTTGCTGGCTTGCTTGCTTGCCTGTTGTGCTTCCTTGCTGCCTGATTCTTGCTTGCTTGCTTGCTTGTCTTGCTTGCTTGTTGTGCTTTGCAGCTGGCTGGCTTTGCTTGCTTGCTTGTTTGCTTGCTAGCTGGCTTGGCTTGCTTTGCCTGTTTGCTTCCTGCTGCCTGTTTGCTTGCTTTGCTGGCTGCTTTGCTTGCTTGCTTGCTAGGTTGCTTGCTTGGTTTGGCTGGCTTTGCTTGCTTGCCTGTTTGCTTGCTTGCTGGCTTGGCTTGCTTGCCTGTTTGCTTCCTTGCTTGCTTGTTTGCTTGCTTGCTTGCTTGCTTGCTTGCTTGCTTGCTGGCTGGCTTGGCTTGCTTGCCTGTTTGCTTCCTTGCTTGCTTGTTTGCTTGCTTGCTTGCTGGCTTTGCTTGCTTGCCTGTTTGCTTGCTTGCTGGCTTGGCTGGCTTGGCTTGCTTGCCTGTTTGCTTCCTTGCTTGCCTGATTGCTTGCTTGCTTGCTTGCTGGCTTTGCTTGCTTGCTTGCTTGCTTGCTGGCTTTGCTGGCTGGCTGGCTTTGCTTGCTTGCCTGTTTTGCTTGCTTGCTGGCTTGGCTTGCTTGCCTGTTTGCTTCCTTGCTTGCCTGTTTGCTTGCTTGCTTGCTTGCTTGCTTGCTTGCTTGCTTGCTGGCTTTGCTTGCCTGTTTGCTTGCTTGCTGGCTTTTGCTTCCTTGCTTTGCTTGCTTGCTTGCTGGCTTTGCTTGCTTGCTGGCTTTGCTCTCTTGCTGGCTTTGCTTGCTTGCTTGCTTGCTGGCTTTGCTTGCTTGCTGGCTTGGCTTGCTTGCCTGTTTGCTTCCTTGCTTGCCTGTTTGCTTGCTTGCTTGCTTGCTGGCTTTGCTTGCTTGCTGGCTTTGCTGGCTGGCTGGCTTTGCTTGCTTGCCTGTTTGCTTGCTTGCTGGCTTGGCTTGCTTGCTTGTTTGCTTCCTTGCTTGCCTGTTTGCTTGCTTGCTTGCTGGCTTTGCTTGCTTGCTGGCTTTGCTGGCTGGCTGGCTTTGCTTGCTTGCCTGTTTGCTTGCTTGCTGGCTTGGCTTGCTTGCTTGTTTGCTTCCTTGCTTGCCTGTTTGCTGCTTGCTTGCTGGCTTTGCTTGCTTGCTGGCTTTGCTGGCTGCTGGTTTCTTGCTTGCTTGCCTGTTTGCTTCCTTGCTTGCCTGTTTTGCTTGCTTGCTTGCTTGCTTGCTTGCTTGTTGGCTTTGCTGGCTGGCTGGCTTTGCTTGTTTGAATGTTTGCTTGCTTGCTGGCTTGGCTTGCTTGCCTGTTTGCTTCCTTGCTTGCCTGTTTGCTTGCTTGCTTGCTTGCTTGCTGGCTTTGCTTGCTTGCTGGCTTTTGCTTGCTTGCTTGCTGGCTTTGCTCGCTTGCTTGCTTGCTTGCTTGCTGGCTTTGCTGGCTGGCTGGCTTTGCTTGCTTGCCTGTTTGCTTGCTTGCTGGCTTGGCTTGCTTGCCTGTTTGCTTCCTTGCTTGCCTGTTTGCTTGCTTGCTTGCTTGCTTGCTTGCTGCCTTTGCTTGCCTGTTTGCTTGCTTGCTGGCTTTTGCTTCCTTGCTTGCCTGTTTGCTTGCTTGCTTGCTTGCTTGCTGGCTTTGCTTGCTTGCTGGCTTTGCTCGCTTGCTGGCTTTGCTCGCTTGCTTGCTTGCTTGCTTGCTTTGCTTGCTTGCTGGCTTTGCTTGCTTGCTGGCTTTGCTGGCTTGCTGGCTTTGCTTGCTTGCTGGCTTTGCTTGCTTGCTGGCTTTGCTTGCCTGCTTGCTTGCTTGCTTTCTTGCTTGCTTGATTGCTTGCTGGCTTTGCTTGCTTGCTGGCTTTACTTGCTTGCTGGCTTGCTTGCTGGCTTGCTTGCTGGCTTTGCTTGCTTGCTGGCTTTGCTTGCTTGCTTGCTGGCTTTGGTTGCTTGCCTGTTTGCTTGCTTGCTTGCTAGCTTTGCTCGCTTGCTGGCTTTGCTTGCCTGTTTGCTTGCTTGCTTGCTTGCTGGCTTTGCTTGCTTGCTGGCTTGCTGGATTTGCTTGCTTGCCTGTTTGCTTGCTTGCTTGCTGGCTTTGCTTGCTTGCTGGCTTTGCTTTCTGGCTTTGCTTGCTTGCCTGTTTGCTTGCTTGCTTGCTGGCTTTGCTTGCTTGCCTGTTTGCTTGCTTGCTGGCTGGCTGGCTGGCTGGCTTGCTTGCTTGCTTGCTTGCTTGCTTGTATAGTTGGTTGCTAGGTTGCTTGGTTGCTTGGTTGCTCCGTTGATTGGTTGCTTGCTTGCTTGTTTGCTTGCTGGCTTTGCTGGCTTTGCTGGCTTTGCTTGCTTGCTTGCTTGCTTGCTTGCTTGCTTGCTTGCTTGCTTGCTTGCTTGCTTGCTTGCTTGCTTGCTTGCTTGCTTGCTTGCTTGCTTGCTTGCTTGCTTGCTTGCTTGCTTGCTTGCTTGCTTGCTTGCTTGCTTGCTTGCTTGCTTGCTTGCTTGCTTGCTTTGCTTGCTTGCTTGCTTGCTTGCTTGCTTGCTTGCTTGCTTGCTTGCTTGCTTGCTTGCTTGCTTGCTTGCTTGCTTGCTTGCTTGCTTGCTTGCTTGCTTGCTTGCTTGCTTGCTTGTTGCGTTGTTGTTGCTTGGTTGCTCCGTTGATTGGTTGCTTGTTTAGTTGGTTGCTTGGTTGGTTCGTTGGTTCGTTGGTTGCTTGCTTGCTTGCTTGGTTGCTCGCTGGCTTTGCTTGCTTGCTTGCTTGCTGGCTGGCTGGCTGGCTGGCTGGCTGGCTGGCTTGCTTGCTTGCTTGCTTGCTTGCTTGCTTGTATAGTTGGTTGCTAGGTTGCTTGGTTGCTTGGTTGCTCCGTTGATTGGTTGCTTGTGTAGTTTGTTGCTTGGTTGGTTCGTTGGTTCGTTGGTTGCTTGCTTGCTTGCTTGCTTGTTTGCTCGCTGGCTTTGCTTGCTTGCTTGCTTGCTTGCTTGCTTGCTTGCTTGCTTGCTGGCTGGCTGGCTGGCTGGCTGGCTGGCTGGCTGGCTGGCTGGCTTGCTTGCTTGCTTGCTTGCTTGCTTGCTTGCTTGTGTAGTTGGTTCGTTGGTTGCCAGGTTGCTTGGTTGCTTGGTTGCTCCGTTGATTGGTTGCTTGTTTAGTTGGCTGGTTGTTTGGGTTGTTGGTTGCTTGCTTGCTTGCTTGTTTGCTTGTTGGCTTGCTGGCTTTGCTTGCTTGCTTGCTTGCTTGCTTGCTTGTTTGGTTGGTTTGTTCTGTTTTGTTTCGTTCCTTTCTTTGTTTTTCATCATTGTTTAATGTTGTTGCTCTAGTGTCATGTGCAAAGGTGCAACAACAACTGGCAGAAGTCTTGTGGCGAGTGAAGGGGATGATTAAGTGTACATGGGAACAGGTTTGGCGCGCCCTTTGCTAAGATATCACCAGCCCTTTGCTCTGAAGTCTACCCTGTACTCAAAAATGGTGGGGGGGGTCTCTCAAACTTGGGGATCTGGAGCCAGTTTTTCTTTCTTCTTTCACAGCCCTTTGAGGAAAGCCCAAAGTGATTGGGCGGGCTTCTTCTTTCTCTTCAAGCGCATGTCCTTTCAGTTTCCTCAAAGACTTTCGTTTCCCAATAGACAAATGGAATCACTGGGGAGACGTTTTCCAAAAGGGGTTGCTCAGGCAGCCCTCCATTCTTGGATTTGGAGTTGAACCCCTGGTGCTAGAAGGCACCTGCGCAACCGTGAATCGTGCGGAACAAAACAGGTCAACTCTCGCCAACAGTTAGCTCACCCAACATGCAACCCACAGGTTCCCCTCCCACCCCAGGAGCGGATGGCGTGGGGCCTCTTGCAGGCACGAGCAGTGAAAACCCGGTGGGTTTGGAGAGAAGAACCAAATCCCAAGAGGACAAGAACCAACACGTTTTTTTTTGGGGGCGGAGTATGTGTGTGTGTGTCTTTTTTTTAAAGGATTTGGAGGCCCCAAAATGGTTTTCATTTTTCGTGGAGGAGAAACACATTTGATGGTTTGATCTTTGTGGTTACTTGGTAAGGATCTTTGGCCTTCAAATTTTGAATCAGGTGGGAGTTTCCATTGGACCCACAAAAAGCGAAACTTTTTTGCAACGGGCCACAGCAACCAAGTGAGTATCCCAAAAAAGGGAGATCCTGTTTGATCATCCCAGTCGTCGTTGCTTAAAAAGTGGTTAACAACTACGCGAAAAGACAAAAACACAACACCTCCTCCTTCGTTTGATTATACCAGGGGAAAGTCCAAGTTGGCAAACACATGGAAAAGGCTAAAAAGCAGCATCTCCTGGTTGGGTTTGCTTTGCAAAGCAGGGCAGACAGCCGAGTGCCACAAGGGCATTTCGAGAATCTGTATCATGGCCTTTGTATGCAAGGTACGGGGATGTGTCAATAGAACCTGGACACCCAAAATGGATCTTGATTTCAGTAGGTTTTGAAACAACCCCCAAAAAGGGGTACCAACTAAAAAGGAAACACATACGCATATCATTTGGTGCAGCACCCACGACTCCCCAGCCTTTCAAACCCCAGATTGCCCCTGCCCACGTGGGGACTTGACTGGGAACAACGAACCTGTGGAGTGGTCATCTAGGGGTCAAAATCCAGGGGCCTGTTGGGAAAGCCTGGTATGGCCCAATGTATGTGGACGACGTGGGCAACCCTTTTTGCCAGGGTTGTTGTCTTTGGTGTGCTTGCCAAGGTAAATCGGCAACCTAGATGATGGCCCACTGAACAGTCCCCTGGGTGCTGTTAATTGAGTTTGGGTCTAGTCCAACGCCAAACTCGTGAACTATCTACAGTCTCCGATCCAACTTCCAAAATGATTTAGTGTATGGTGGCCCCAAAACAAAGATTTGAACTTTCAAAGGGTTTTTATCCCGAAGACTTCTTCGGGTCCGAGCAAAGGGGGTACCCGATGTGCATCTCTAAGAGTCATGGTTTGGGTTTGTCTCCAAATAGGAATCGGCCTCACAATTGATTGTTTTAGAAAAGCAGCCCCAAACGCCAAAAGGCAACCATCAAAACAAGACACCCCCCTCCATTTGTTGAGTTCCATGTTTCACTTCCTGAGTTGGACTTTCACTCTTCGGGCTTGGAGAGAAAAAGGTAGTGGTTAGTTCAACAACAGTTTGTCAGCCACTGGATCGGAAGTGAGGCATGTTGATTCGGTGCTCCTTGCGGTCGCTGCGGCAAAACGGGCTTTTGAAAAGAAGAAACAGCATATGGCCCGCGGAAAGTATGACGATGTTGCTTAAACCATGTCCTCGTTTTGGACATCAACTCTATGGGACATTATAGTAGGTGGTTCTACTACCCAGTTCAATGGGGGTTACAATAAAGGCCCTATCGCAAGATGAACCAACAGTGAATGGTGTTTAGCCGCTGCTCACTTGCTTGCAGGGTTTGAGCATGTTTCCGGTGGCTGTTCACCGGGAGGCGAAGCAGGCGAAACCGCCGGATTCAGAGCTGGACACGCAGGTTGGGGGGGGGTTGGGGGTTGGGGGGATGGGCATCACCGCAAGGGGTGCGGGGGGGGGGGGGTTGGGGGGCGGTTGGGTGGGGATGGTTGGGGGGTGGGTTGGGGGTGGGGTGGGGGTTGGGTGGGGTTGGTGGGGGGGTGGTAGGGTGGGGGTTGGGTTCAAACAAGTTGGGCCACTTTGTACCTTCGGTTTGCTGGTTCCGCGATAGTGGTCAAAAGGCACTTGAGGCTTTTTTGAGGGTACCTTTTTTTGGTGGTTTTGAAGGGAAACGACAGGAGGCACCCACATTTTGGCGGTCTAAAAACGGAGACACCCACGGTTGAGCAGAGGACCCCTACGACTTGGACCCGCTTTCCAAGTCGTGTGCCAGCTTTCAGTCAAAGGGGTGGCACCAGTTGGCGATCTCCTGCTTCGGTAGCTGTCTGTTTCCACACACGATGCGAGCTGAGTGTTTTTAGCGCAGTTTTTTGCTCCGGTGTTGATTTGGGCGCGGCAACGTGGTAATATGGGGTAGTGGTAATATTGTGCAAGCATTCTACGATCCAGCACTGTCAGAGAGAGAGAGAGAGAGAGTTAGCGAGAGATAGAGAGATAGAGAGAGAGAGAGCGAGAGAGAGAGAGAGAGAGAGAGAGAGAGCGAGAGAAAGCTAGCAAGCGCATTCGGGCTCACATAGACAAGTCAGAGGCAATGCAGAGCTCATGCCCTCCGAAAGTCATGGTATGCGCTGACACCCCTGCAGAACATCCCCCCCCCAAAAAAAACAAACAAACAAGCAAACAACAGCAACATGGACAGACGAAGGGCCTTGCAGCTGACCAGTTCATGGCTCGTTTTCAGGGGCCGGGGTTGGCAGAGGTTGGTTTGCGGAAGCCAGGGGCAAGGCTCGCACGTGCCCAAAAAACGACGAAGCCGACTGGCTCTTAGAACTTTATATTTTTGGGAGAGAAGGTCAACAGTAGGAAGATGGTGATGCCACAAATTCCACTTGGGTATGTGTCAAATTGAGGCCTCCCAAAAAAAGTTGGGTGGGATCGTTTTGGTTTCGCTTCAAACCAGGCCCAAAAAATGTGCCGACCTTCACCCACTTTGTCTTTGGCGCATTTTGCTTGGATGTTAGGACTTTAACTTTTTGCCAACTAATGGGTTTTCAATTAAACCACTAAAAGGTAAACTTGTAGCAGGGGAGCAGAAAGCAACCGAGTTGTGTTTCTTGTGCCGGGCAAAACAGCTGCCCCCCTTCGATGCAGCTGGGTGCAAGCTGTGGGCCGCCGACTGGGCGCCATGGGCCGCCGACAGCTCGGCGGCTGCACCGGTCGGAGACGGCCGATGCGGCGGTGAAGCGGTCGGCAGTCGGCAGTCGGCAGTCGGGATGGGCAGAAGCTGGGGATGTTTCCACTACCCTCCCACCAGCTAACATGGAAGTGCACAGACCCCTGTAGAAAGACTACTTTCCTCTTGGGAAATGCCTTTTTGCACTTCCATGTCAGTGGTGGGAGGGTAACCTGCCACAGGAGCTTGCGAGTTATATTGTCAGGTTGCCACTTTCGGGGATTCAAGAACAGTCAGAAGAATGGACATTTTATTTTGGTATCACAGAATTTCGGATCGGCCCAATGGCGGGCCACTGGAAGTTGCAGATTGCCCTCCAATGGAAGCATCTTCGGATGCGTCGTTTTTTTTTTTTGGCTTTCAGTGGGAGCAGCGCCACCAACATGTGGGTGGGTCTTTTTTTGGGCGTACCTCTTTTTGGTGGTTCGAAAGGGACACCAAAAGGAAAGCTACATACTTCCCCAACAGCTGAAAGCTTTGGGGTCTCAGCCCAGATAGGCTCCGGGGTGGTCCGGGGCGGCCCTGAGGGAAGGTTCCACAAGGGTTTTATCAGGGTTCCAGCAGGTTCTGCGAGGGCCACAGGGTCGACAAGGGTTCCGGTGGTCCGGGGCGGCCCTGAGGTAAGGTTCCACAAGCGTTCCACCAGGTTCTGCGAGGGCTGCGGGGTGGTTCGGGGTGGTTTGAGGTAAGGTTCCACAAGGGTTCCGCCAGGGTTCCACAAGGTTGTGCAAGGGTTGCGGCCCGGGCGGCTGTGAGGTAAGGTTCCAACACAAGGGTTCCACCAGCGTTCCACTAGATTCTGCGAGGGCTGGTAAGGTTCCACCAAGGGTTCCACCAGGTTCTGCAAGGGCTGCGGGGTGGTCCCGGGTGGTTTGAGGTATGGTTCCACAAGGGTTCCACAAGGGTTGCACCACGAGGGTTCCACAAGAAGAAGCAATGTGTCGTGCGCCGTCGCCATCGGAGCAGTAGATTGGGGGCTGAGGAGATCGCCCATGAGCAATCGAACACTAAGCAAAACCGAGAATCAATGGTTTTCAGCACACTTTCACTGTATAGGCTTGCACACCGCCTCAAACAACGCGGCCCGAAAGGATTGCTTTGTGGCTGCTGCGGGACTCAGTGTGCAGCAGAGTAAATGCTTGGCATCACTTAGTATTACTTGGTGGGCTTTGGGTTCACGAGGCTGCGGAGGGCTGTGGGGTAAGGTTGTGAGGGTTCCACAAACGCTCCACAAGGAGCCCTGTGCCACAAGGACGGTCTCCTAGGCTCACCGGGGCCTGATTGCACGGTCGCCGTTGAGCCTCAGTCGGGCTCCGTCAGCTGTACCAAGCTGGCATCGCCTAGTTTTGCTGGATGCAGTTGTAAGGCCGCATCCAAAAAAAACCGGCGTTGAGCTAGATAGGTGGCTGGGGTTGGTGGGAGCCCGCTTGCACCACAGTGGGGGCCCGATTGCACCGTGTCCCGCTCGGGCCCCGATTGCGTCGGGCCCCGATCGGGCCGCGATGGCGCCGTCGGGCCCCGACCAGGGCGCGATTGCACTGTCACTCTTAGCTTTGCAGTATGCCCGCAGGGCCTTATGATGCAAGCGGGCCTGCACCAACTCCAGCCATCATAGCTCACCGCCGGTTTTGCGCAGGATGCCGCCTTATAGCTGGGCGATGCCAGCTTGGTATACGGGGCCTGACCGAGGCTTGACGGAACGTGCAATCGGGCCCCGACCAGGGCCTGCAATTGGGCCCGGCTGGGCCCCAATGGTGCGGCTGGCTCAAAGAAAAGACCATAGGAAAACCAATCGTCCCCTTCACGACAACTGGTTGGTGAGGCTTGGGGCTGTTTGTCGCCGACAGCTCAAAGCGATGGGTCTCTGCCCAGATAGTCTTGGGGCGGCTCTGAGGTAAGGTTCCGCGAGGGTTCTGCGAGAATTCTGCGAAAGTTCTGCAAAAGCTCCGCAAAGGCTCTGGGGTGGTTTGGGGCGGTCCGCGAGGGTTCTGGAGGGTTTGGTGCTGTTGGGGATATCGTTTTCGGGTTTTGGTAACGACACACCACCATTTTCCCTGACTCTTCTCTCTGTGCCTGGTTCCACTTGGCGCGCCAATGGGCACGGAAGCCATTCATCTGAGACATTCAGACACAGCCTCGGAGCCTCACGCGCCAAGGGGCAATCAGGGGAAGTGACGACCAACATTCCATACCTGAAGGTGCCCTGTTGAAGATTGATTCTTGTTGGGCCCCTTTTTCTTGGGTGGGACGAAAAGGGGGGGGGCGAGGGGGCCCGAGGGAAGAGCGGGGATGGTTTTTTTCCTTTGAAAATGACCAACGCAACCGTTTCGGGCTTGGAAGATCAGGGTCCCTGACCCCAGTGCTTGCATTGACCACCATACTGGTTGCCTGCTCTTGGAAGGTCCTCGCCCCCCCAAAGTTCCACCATTCGGGATCCGATCGCCTCCAATCAGGACATTCATGTGCCATCCACGTGGAACGTATTTGCGTGTCTATTTTTTTTCAGTTCCCCCCCCCCCCCCCCGCAAATAGTGGGTTTTAAAAAACCGGGAAACAAAAGCAAGGGCGCCCTTCAAAAAAACAAACACCCCCCAATTCTTCCAGCCCAACGGGCCCCAATTTTCCCAAGGCATGCCGCGCCTGCCACGCCGCCGCGGGCCTTGTTGCTTGGCGAGGAGCTTCGGGGGAGGGTCAGCGGACATGGCAGTCAGTTGGTACCAAAAAACGTCCGGTGGATGATGGTTGCGCAAAAGGAGGTTTTGGAAACGGCCACTTTCGATGATTTCGAGGGAGCCCCTTGTGACCAGGTATGCAGAATCCAGCACGTGGATGTGTTGTTTTTTGAGGGTACCGTTTTTGCTGTTTCAAAGGAAACCCAAACAAAAACCACCATTTTGGAAGAAATAGTATTCCATGTGGCATTTGCCCCAAATGCAACTCACAAGGCAAGGGAGAAATGGTCCAGGGGCAAATCAAGCGGGCCCCGTTCGCCAGGTTCCACGTGCACAATCCCTGCCTGGGTGAGATACGTGGGCCGATCATTGGAGAAGCTCGAAGTGAATTCCTCTTCCGTTGTGCCGCTATTGGGAATGCGGAGGGCTTGTGCCTGCTTGTGTGTTTCGGTTGATGTCAAGCTTAGCACAGCTTTCGCATCCAAGGCTCAGCATATGTTACATCCAGGGCTCAGGATCCCAATTACATATCCCAGTCTACATGTACATTTGCTCCACTATGCTTTTTGTGACATGTCGGGCATCCACGTCCCGTCCCGGCGTCCCGTCCCAGCAGGACATGCCCGGCGGCTGAAGCGAGGCGCCGTGCGAGCGGCGCGGCAAAGCGCCGGCACCGCGCGGAAGATCGCCTACCAGGAGGCGGGCGGGAAAGGCGTGTCTGTGACGAGTAAAAATCGGTTGGATGGGCTGTAGGTTGCCAATGAATGGGATAAGTCACCGAGAACTGGTGCGCGCATTCGTCCAACCCCCTGGCAGGGTCCTCACACACTCATGAGGCGAATGAGCATTTTGGGTGGCGGGTGAAAAGATGGCGCTAAGTCAAAGTGAGTTCCCAACTTTTTGTTTTGAACACCCATCCAACCGCCTTGAAACAATACGCTGAAAGCAAGGATGGGCAAAAAGTTGTTCAAACAACCAACCCCTCCCATTGAATTG